CCCCCCCCACGCAGTTCACGTTGTATATATGCGTGCACTATATTAGCGCGCGAGTTGAAAAAGAAAACGCACCTCCCTTTGACAAGGTAAACAAACCGAGGAGTTCCTCCGTACGTGTCATTGTTTCCCTTCCATATCGCGAAAGGGAGGAAAAAGGATCTCGTTTATTTCGTTGTATCACCCGTTTCGAGCAAACAACCCCAACGAGGAGATAGCCGTGTTTTTTTTTTTTTTTTTTTTTTTTTTCATTTTTCGTTTACAGCTTAGTAAGAAGGACAAGTATTAAATCAACACCTGCTTGATAGATGGAACAATTTGGATGTAAAAAAAATAATATCGTGTTTGTTTCCCCTGCCAAATTGGGTACGTATAGGATCACAGAGTTGAAGGTATAGAAAACGTGCTAGGAAAAATTGCACTCGTTTATTAATATTATCATTATACATGTATATACATATTATATACATCATCGTTGTTGCTGTTACATCACTATTGTTTCGTATCGCGGGAGTCCAAGTGTTACTCGTAGTCGTTAAGCTGTTGATAATTGTGTACACTCAAGAAGCGGTGTATAGGTATATAGGTATTGTCAATTGTTTTCGTCAGTAGTCAAAGGGCGCATTGACGCGATTGTCTTTTGGGAGTACAATGCACACGTGTGCGATGTATACGTGTAGCAAATAGCGTATACCTTCGCGTGTATATATATGGATTTACTAATAGTGTTATATATACCGTAGCCATTGTATACAGAAACACGCAAAAAATACATTATCCGAATTCAACAATAGCAATGTTTATCGTAAGGATCGTTTTTCCCCATGCAAGGGATTTGTAGAATTTACGACGTTGATGTAGGTATACTTACTTTTTTTTTTTTTTTTTTTTTTTTTCTCAACATCGACTGCCATTTCAATACAAAGGAAAAATGTTTGCATTGTTTTTCCACAATGTAATATATTCGTTACGAACCTGGCAACTATTACACGGAACCCGTAGCGGTGTATAATTAATGGATGCGAAAAATTTTTTCATCACGCGAGACGGATGATGTACTATTTACAAAAAATTTTGTTCTCTGTTTTATTAAAAAAAAAAAAAAAAAAAAAAAAAAAAAAAAAAAAAAAAAAAAAAAAAAAAAAAAAAAAAAAAAAAAAAAAAA